TATAGAATGTAAATAAATTCAATTCAATTCCACAAGGAAGACAGCCTCCGATCTCAACAGATATGGTTCCCTGTGACTTTATTTTGTTCCCTGAACTAAAAAGAACATTGAATGGCCAAAAATTCATGTGGACATAAACACATTACAGCTGAGCAACTGTTGGCCATTCCAAAACTTGTTTCAGAGTTGCTTCCATCTCTGGCAAGAATGGTGAAAGAAATATGTACATGCTATAGATTAGTTTGAATTGCCTTCTATCCCTGGAAGTACGGTGACTTAGTTTTCACATATTCAGTCTCAGTAATTTTAACAAACCTGAACTTCCACAAAACATCTTCCTTTCTATCACTCATACATGTGCATTAGGGATTAATTATGTTCTATCTGTCCTCTGTATGTCAATTTGTGTCAGTGGTTACATTTGAAATTTGAAGTTCTTACAGCACTGAACATCATTATTACTATCTTCTGGGCTGTGATGACATGTAGTTTGGTATGTGGGTACCAACATTTCAGAACATGCTCCCTCCATCTTCAGGGTTGAAGGGAGGACTGTTCTACCCTGAAGATGGAGATACCAGACCCCTCAAATCATTACTACCTACATACCAAAATAAACGGAGTTACAGCCCAGAGATCTGAATCTTCATGATTACATCTGTTGAATGGTTCTTGAGGAAAATGGACAAGTGATCAATCCACTGCCTACAATAAAATGAATAGATGTGAAGCAAAAACATATCAATGAGATCAGTGTATTAAGATATTGTTTCATCGGAACAAAATGGAAAACCACAAAAACCTCTTGGCAGAGACAAAACAACTCCATCCAGTGTGAGTATTTAAGTTTTTACTACTTGAAAACTTAGCACCCTTACATGTTTCAGTCCTTATGGACCATCTTCAGAGAGAACATCGATACTTATTTGGAAACTACTATCACAATGGGTGTTTCTGAGTGCTAAAATATATATACACATAATGCCTGCAATGCACAATATACACAAAATCCAACTTTTCCACAACCACACCAGCTTTCCTGGTATATTAAAGTTTTTAAAACTTTGTTGTTTAAGTTAACGTTTATAACCCAAGTAGGTTCGTGTCCCTTCTAGTATTGTCTTTCTTGACGGGGGCTGAACTTGTGCCGCCTGTCTATCTTGAGAAGGAGATTCTTGGTATCATCCTGTGTTTGTTCGTGGCGTGCTGTGTTGTTTTCACTGTTCACTCCATGAACACCATGCCACAAACAAACACAGGATGATACCAAGAATCTCCTTCTCAAGATAGACAGGCAGCACAAGTTCAGCCCCCATCAAGAAAGATGATAGGAGAAGGGACACAAACCTACTTGGTTTATAAATTTTAACTTAAACAACAAAGTTTTAAAAACTTTAATATACCAGGAAAGCTGGTGTGGTTGTGGAAAAGTTGGATTTTGTGTATATTGTGCATTGCAGGCATTGTGTGTGTATATATTTTAGCACTCGGAACACCCATTGTGATAGTAGTTTCCAAATAAGTCTTGATGTTCCCCTTGATGATGGTCCATAAGGACCGAAACATGTAAGGGTGCTAAGTTTTCAAGTAGTAAAAACTTAAAACTTGTTTTGTCTTTGTAATTGCTAGTGTGATGGACCAAAGTGAAACAAATCAAATTCCTCTTGGCAGAGTCAACACCAGCTGAGATTAAAATCAGTTTCTCAAAGTCCTCTACCACAAAATTAAATCTCTCCAGTTTCTTCTTCCAACAAATCAAAATGCAAGAACATCTGAAAACAGTGGCAGCACAAGTGCAAATACTTGGTGACAAAACAGACAGGACCAGCAAAAGGCTAAATACCATCACTGCACTGCCCTCCTAACCTCAGACTTACTCAACACTTTGTCACAATACATAACATGAAATCCCTAGACACTATACAGAACCCATCATAATTCTTCATATATATTTTCCACAAACTGTCCAGCAGATATGGATCAATTTTTACATGAACAGGTACCAAATATCCAAATTAATTCCAGTTTCAGAATTTTAAATCCGCATCCTACTTGGGTACCATCAATACAAAAGTGATCTGACATCCATTTTATTTATATGTTGCCTCAGTTAACAAGACAGATAAAATTGCACTTGCTAGTCAGTTCTCTACAAGTGAAAACATGCCCATTCACACTGCTGATATTGGTCCATAGCAGCCACAATACTGGGGCATATTTGCGCAAAGCAAGAACTGTGGAGCCAGAGAAACAGCCATTGTTAACGGCTTTGAAACATTCCTTTCTGCACACCGGCTGTGTAAAAACGTTCCCACAGCAGTGGATAAGCATGCAACAGAGGTAATCTTGAAAACAGGGGTTTCTGCTCGGTCCATGCAAAGAGGTTATAAGAAAGTCAACTGGGGCAACCAAGTCAGTTCTGTATGGGTCTGTGATGAAAAGTGGCAGCTGGAAGGGAGCTGCCTTTCAGAGAACACTTGAATATGTGAAGCTGAAGAATCTCCACTGCTAGAATCCAATGCCAGGGAATGGCTAGTGAAGATGCAGCAGGCTGGAAGACTTAGTGGATGCTGTGGTGATTAGTAATGGTGCTGTAATTGCTTGCAGTCCAAAGTTAATTTCATTTATTCACCTTCCATAAAGTTGTGTGTATAACTGGTCAATAAATTCAATATTCCCATCTACACAGTCACACTCCAGACTATGTGACAGTTATGATACACCAGTTTACAAAATCCAAGAGGAGAATGGCTAAAATATCAATATACCATAGTGTTTTGATGTAAACATTTTTCTACCGAGTAAAATGGTCAGGCTGCAGAGGTATGTGAGAAACTACCAGTCAGTTACGAATACAGCACAGGCATATCAGACTACTTTCTAACCTATATATCACATGCCTGCAGAATTTTGTATTAAAGAATTGGTTTTGAAATATGTGCTTCCTTCTTTTCATCTAACATGTGCAGATGGTAACCTGCAAAGCAGGGGATTTTGGCCAGTCTTATCACCATATACTTGTTTCTGCCATGAAGGGATGCTTTAAATTTCAGGTTCACAGATCAAAACAAAAACTATCAAAATACTTGTAAGACCACACACTATAGCACTGTGATAGTGGTTTTCAAGCTGCATTTGAAAGTTGTTCTGTGGCTGCATAACTTAAAAATGTTTTATTTCTAACGTATAAAACAAATCCTGTAAAGAAGGTCTTAGTTTACAACTTAAATGAGAGCAAGAGGCATATATGAATACAGTAAAACTTGGTTATAGCAACATCGGTTTCTGCGACACCTTGTCTATTGCGTCAAATATTCAATGGTACGAACTAATTCCTCATAAAGCAACTGTTTTTATACCTTGCTTAGTACGACATGCACAAATGCATCAACCTTGTATGTAACGTCATTTTCATTCCTGAATTTCTCTGATATGGACATTGAACGTAATTTAGAAAGTGTGTATTGGGCAAGTAACAGGAAACAGATGAAGATAACTGATTACTGTACTCGTATCTAGGTACAGTAAGGCACAACAATTGATGTAATCTACTGTAATTTGGTGAGTAGGCCTACCTTTAATATACAGTATTAGTGCGGTGTGTATTGTCAGTGAAAAGCGCTGTAATATGTCTTTGATATTACACATTTGGGCAATTCCACGTTATTGTTACGTTAGTCTGTACTTAACTACGTATTTCACTAAAAAATGCAACATTTTAACTCGGTTTTTGGTAGATTTTTACGTGACTAACATAAGGCTACTGTGGAAGTGCCCATTTCGGTTACAACGACATTCGTTTATAACGACACTATTTTTAGGTCCCTTTGATGACGTTATAACCAAGTTCTACTGTATGTTCATTTACAGCAGGTTACTAGAGGGGAACTTGCTCACTGAATATTTCCATAGCAAAACTAAATTGCCAGTTTGTTGAGTTGCTTGTTTTTCATGAAGACAAAGGACTGCAGCTGGTTAACACACACAGAATACCCACATAAACAGTGTCAGTGAAATCTGCAGAAAATGCAAATAAATTTTGTCTCAGAGACTGGAAAAGACTTTAAACAAAGAAATCGTTCTTATTAGTCATGAAAATATCTAGTGGCAGATCTCACGAAATTACTAGTAGCTGCATGTGTAAACAGTGGCTGCACTTGAGAATCACTGTGCTCTAAAATCCTATGTGGGCTGTAATGGCAAAATAACTCTTATGTGGTAAAAGACGAAGGTTATGTTTCTTCAACAGTTCTAATCTTTCAGGAAACAAACAGGAATAGGCAATGCAAAACACAGTATCAACAGTTACCAAATCTACAGTCTGAGGATCCATGAGTACCATTGCACAGAAAGTCCACAATGCTTCCTGAGATTACTTTCAAATGACTATGTGTAGATAGTGTAAAAGCCTGTTCTTTCCTATCAACAATATGAAATACTTGATTCTATCTCCTGATACAAATACTCCACTAAGTGATTAAGATCAAGCTGATCTCTTCTTCTGTGGGAGTTTTAATGCAAGTATGCCTAGCTGATCTAACTACTAGCTTGTGGCATGCAAAATAATAACTCTTACTGCTGCAATCTTAGTCTTTACGCATTACAGTGAACAAAAATGAAGAACAGATTGACTATTTTGGGAGACAGAAATAGAAATATGTTCATCACAATCTGCCTGTAACATGTAATCAGCATTTCATGGTTAGATGCCCTGCTCTTTTCAGTCAGTATGCATACTGGCAAACAACTGACATCTCAAAAGCTGTGTATCTGTGAGTCTAACGTTTATTTTGGTCTTGAGGTTTAAAACTGAGTTGGAGGTACCAAGAAAACCTGTTTGAAAATACCAATGGGCAGATATATGGCCATTTTTACTGTACTCTGAATTCCTTCTGTTTATCAATCTACTGTATTTCAAAGTCATAATAATGTATAATTAACAATATTTCAAGGAAATAATATACTCCAATAACACAAAGGGCCAAAAATTTGCATAAAAATAAGTGTTGATATGACTATCTTTATTTCAAGAAAACATTTTCAACCACTCTGAATCTGTTACACATTGAATCACCATTCATTCACTGAACCTTAATTAAAACTAATAGACTATCAACTGCATTAACTAAAAGTTTTATAACCATCTGTGTTGTTTGGAAGTCTAACTGAAATCAGTAAACATCAATATGAATTACAACAATTTCTTAAAATATTTTAAACACAATATCTAATCAAGACTGAAAACATATGAAAGACATTTCAATCAGTAGACAAACATGTACCAGAGGACATTTCTTGCAAGTGTATCATAGTTTTACCAACACAAGTCTTTCCTGAGGTGGTGCAATGATGCAACCCAGTCTTTTCATTTAATTATTTCTTCTAACAGTGTTTGTTCCTTTTGTTACTGGAAAACAGACAAAACGAACCTTAAACTTCAAGGTAAAAAAAAAAACTAATGACAACACTTCACATAACATACATATATAACCCCTAAAAGCAATTCAAGCTACATTCTAGTCTGCAGTCACAACTGGTGTCTACTGAAACCCCTTGTAAGTCATATTTAGACAAAAAATTTCACAGCACAATAAACAATTCCATGCTTTTTCTTCTGCAGTTTCACATGTTTAAGTGTTTACTACAAATAATCCTACATTACAAATCACAAAACACTTCAATTTATTTGTGTCTACATATTTCACTGTTTTGAAGTAGCAAAATGTTGTCACTAATATGTGGAATAAAGAAGGAAAATTTCTTTTATATACAAAAGAGTACTTGCAAGAGGATGGGGAACAGGAACTGATTACTGACAACTCACTACAATAAAATTACACAAGTTTTAAGAAAAATACTATGATGTTTACAGCTATTTATGTCAACTTGTCCTAACTCCAAAACAGTCATTTTCTCAAAATATTTCCAGAAAAGTGAAAATATTTATACTTATAATCCATGTTTTCCTTTTCTGACAAAAACAGATTTGACTAATGTGTGGGAATAAAACGGCATTTCAGATCCAAAGTTTGTTGCATGTGCTATGACTAAAACAGCAAAATGAATACCAAATTAATATTTCAGGAAACTCAATAATACAAGATTAATATTGTCTTGTGTATACTCATACAAACACTAAATGCCTGAAATATGACTGATAAATGAATGAAGACTAACATAATTAACCCCAAACTCACAGAAATACATGCCTCAATTTGTATATTTGCGCACAACTTTCTGGATATATTTTATATACTGATACTTACATATCTGAACTACTAAAAGAATACATACACAAAAAAAGACATTTTCTTTTATTTATTTATCTACATATAATGAATAGGAAATGCACAACTATCATATATGAATATAATACAAGTCATACTATACATTATGATACACAATTTCTTATGAATTCCTGTTCATTTTCACCAACTATATTTTGCCCTAGAGATGAATATATTTTCCCTGATAGGAAGTAGATTTCATGTTAGCAAAAAAGAATATGCTGAACTAAGTCCTTGTGAAGACCGTATAATCATTCGGAGGACGGGAGTCTTACAATACATAAACTCTACACTACTGTCAATAGGTGTCTCAAGTACCATTTGATGGTATATCAGACTAAATGTTAAACCAAGCTTACTCTTCTCTCAAAGTAAATACTTAACAGGGCAGATTATAATTACTTATATATACTTAATCTTGTAAAAGTGAAGGCGATAATATCTCCTTCTGATTTATTTGTCAGGAACAAAACATATAATTTGAAATGAAAGTATAAATAAGTTTGTAACAAGCACAGAATGCATGAACTAGTCTTATTTCCTGAAGACCACTGGCTTGTTCCAGTTTCATTCTTTGTGTAATAAATGGATATTTTGCAATTAAAGCAATAATATATATTCTTGCTAACACTCTTCACAAAATTATTATTGTGCTACAAGAATTCTGAAAATAACATGCCATTAACATATACAAGAATCATTATAGTCTCTCTTTCAATGACTGGAAACCTACAAATCAATTTTCTAACATCCTATGAAGTAAACAGGTGTTGAAGCATACTGTTTCCTGCTATTTAAAATGGCAGTTAATATGACACTGTATCTAAACCTGCAACTTGCTAGTTCTTATAGGTATGTCATGTAGTACCTGACATTTACTCCTTTTTGTTATCATTTTTATACTGAATGCCAAATAATATTGTTCTACATGTCAAAATTTGATTCATACAGAAATTTGGTTTTAACATTCAGTCTCTAATGGGATTTATGTTATGTTAACACATCCAGTAAAGCAGTCACATGAATTCATACAAGATATAAAGTTCTGATAAGTTTACTTCCACACTGAAATTAACTTCTAGTTACAGACAAGGGAAGCAAGACTCATTACTTACAGTGGGAATACTTTTCATTCTATAAAATTTGACTTATTAACTCAAATTTATATGTAATTTGGAATTAATTGATATATATATGCAGTGCAGGCAATAATTTCATGGACTGGCCACATGGCAGCGCTGTTATGCATTACAGCGGATACATGGAGCTGTGAGATGGTGGCATGTCCATTCTTCTCTGCCCCAGCATGAAGCAGTTGTGTGTGTGCAGTGTATTCAGAAAGAAAGTAACTGTTGTAAAGGGGTAGTTGTCTGCAAGTGGTGGAAATCAAGAATGTTGCAGTTTGAGCAACAGGCAAATGTCAAGTTCTGCCAAAAATTTAGGCAAATCACTAGCAAAACGTTTCAGATGATCAAGCAAGTGTACAGCATAGACTTGGTCTGCGGTGCTGTGTTTAAATGGCACAAACGTTTTGCACAGTGGGAGACAATTTGAAAGATGAATATACTGGTCGGCCAAGAAGAGTCAGAACTCAACTCAAGATCCAAGAAGTTACAGTGTTGGTGGGTGCCACAAAGAAGAGTCAGAACTCAACTCAAGATCCAAGAAGTTACAGTGTTGGTGGGTGCCAACTGCTCCCAAACGGTAGATTAAATAATAGCAGGAGCAGCAGGAATTAGCCATGGCACATGCCACAAAAATGTCTAATGACCTGAACATATCTCATGTTGCCCAGCACAGTGTTTCACGTGTCCTGACGCAAGACAAACATGATGATCGCATGAGCATTTGTGGTGCCCTGATTGATAGTGCTGACAAATATGGGGCATTTCTCAACCAGATTGTAACAGGAGACAAACGGCAACTATTTTAAGGGAGGATGTGGATATGTGTAAATGTATGTATCTTGCAATATGGTGCAACAAAACCACAGTCCATGAAATTATTGACTGTAAAAAATATATGTAACTAAAGAACTTGAGCTAATTTACTGATGAAAATTTATGTTCAATTTTCATGATCATGTTTTAAGGTGTTTATTATGGTACGTAAACAGTTCAACATGGCGAGTCCCAAAACTCTAGCTTCAGGTTTCCACAATATTATTTCCAATTCACCAGAAACATAATAATCCATTTCAGATACAAATTAGAATTGTGACAATTCATTACCAGGACTTTCTCCTGACACCATGGCAATTTAGTTACCACAGTGAATGGCAATAGCACAATTAGAACACATTGGTCGTACAGCCTCAGAATACAAAGCGCAATGTTTTTATCATGAAAGTTTGAGCAAATGAAGTAGAAGTTCTTCTGACAATGATACGTGATGCCACAAAACATGGAGAATGAATTCTGTAACTAGTTGAAAAGCATCTTCCACCATCCAAATGTAACAAACATGAACTGATATAACAGGAAGGGAGATGAAAATAAATGTTACACCTTGGTTATGCTGGTGCTAAACCATTTATTCCCATTAACATCACTGCAACAGCTCACAGTGCACTGTACACAGTACAAACAAACAGCAGTCTGTCCTAATGTGTAGGCACTGGGAATTGTTAACATTACTTCCACAGTGCAGTTAGAATAACACTAACATTAAAGCCAGATTTATTCTTCAGTATGATTGATCAATCAAGTCAGCCAGCCAGTCAGTCAGTCACTCACTCACTCAGAACCAATACATAATTTCTGGACACTAAAGGAAATTTGCTGCCTTGTTTATAGTTGTTGGTACTAAGGTGTTAAGCAGATACTAATAACACAATTTTGAATGTATTAAGGCAATTTTACTGTGTTCTGGTTCTACAGGTTTGTGACGGTGGTTCAGCACTGTCAAGGAATATTTCATTTACACAATTTCCATTGTCTGGATCAAAAAGATATACAGTTCTGACCCATCTCCAGCTAAAAGGAAAATGTAGAGCACACTAGCAAAGAACAATTCTTGTCACTACATTTAACTTTATCTAACAGTAACAACATGCAGGGTATCATTTCGTTTTTTCCTGAAGACAGACCCACTCAGCCTTAATAGTTGTATGTCTTACTGACCCAGATGATATACAAAAGTCCAAAGAACATACTTTCATGATAATCTTACCGTGGGGGGGGAACTTAAAATTTCACTTAAAATGCCTTGAATATTCACAAGATATTCTTTATGAGTAAATCAGAATTCTTGATCAATATACTTCAGTTACTCTTGCAAGGATCTATAGACACCATTACAAAAAAAAAAAAATGTGATGTGCCACTTGCAAATGATCCCATAACCTGAATCCGATTTCCAAATTCAAAATGAGATTTACGAAGTACTGACTGCACTTGTATGGACTGTAACTACAAGAAGCACAGCATAAGCAACGCGAGTAAGAACGGAACAACAATCTTAATGTAGCTTCAGTTATACATTTATATCTACATGCTTATGTGATATTTTCTTGCAATTATACAATACAAGCGAAGTCTTGATAATGGCACAGCAGTTGGAATGAGTACAAGAAGGTTCTCAACACTGGTAATTTTACATATTCACTTCATGGAGACATCTGAACTAAACTTGCTCTAAACTGGTGGACCATCAACTTGGTATGATATAGGCTTCATAGGACTTTCCATCAGGAAGCTGCTGCAGTATCTGTTCTTTGCATGGTTTAGATTCAGTAGCCAAATACACTCACTTTCATAATAGACAACACAAATTCTTCTTCAGTCAAACACAGTTCTTTCACTGTGTATATCACTATATATATATGTATATCTTTATAATTCACCGAATTTGAACGTGCAATATCTAAAATCTTCCACTACTGTACTATGTAGTCATTCCCAAATTGTCCTCAGTCCTCTCTAATTTACCTGTGACAGACCATCAACTCTAAACTTTCATCAAGTTCGCTATCTTTGTTGGGTTTGGTCAAGCCACAACTGGTTCCGGGGGGTTCAACTCGCAGACATGCTGTTCACCTGCTGATGATCCAGTTGTGTCCATTGGCTCATCTCCATGGGTACCAAGAGATCCTGCACCAGATCCTGGACCTCCTGCAGGATTCTGCTGAGTAGAGAGGGACTCAGACTTAGCTGACCACTGTGTCAAAGTATATGGAGCCAAGCGAGCTTCACGTCGAGCACGACGACGAGCCCTCCTCTCTTGCATTATAAGGCGCAGTTGCTCCATCTTCCCACGAGTGGCTTGATTCTCCTGTGACAGGGTCAAGGATTCCTCTGCAAAACAAATAATACATGTAAAATTAATCACAGGAATGTGAGACATGATAGAAAATGACAAAGGGCTGCTTCTGGCATAAGCCCTACAATATGAAGGTATTTGAGGCACAAGTGAAGCGTCACACCCTAGCTGGAGACACAACATGCACCCCACAGGTGCCCTGTTATAGTCTTTCACTTCATAAGAGACTATGGAATATTTTACATTTAAAAACTTCTTGGACAAAAAATGATAATTAGATAAACTGTCATCTGGTGTGTAATATTTAGCTATTTTGAAGTCTATTTGCAGCATCAGATGTTAATAAAGCATCTTTATAGTGTAAGCTTTCCTATTATCACTACCCTGCACCTACTGCAAGAACAATAAGTCATCACCTTGTAAGCAGTGACACATCTGTTAACAAATCTTTCTTTAAAGGCTGATGACCACTGAAGTTGGCAAGGTAGTGCTCAGTGGAGTTACTATTAAGTCAGACACTGCAGCATGTGTATCACATGCAAATCACTCTGTAATATCTTCCAGTATTAATCAGCATGGATAAGAATATGAGAAACGTAGAGACAGATGAAAATTTGAATATAAGCAGATAGACAAATACTCGTTTCTTTAATGCAATAACAAACATATGTATGTACAAAAATAATATAACTCTGAAGACATTAAAGGACAGATCATGAAATATTCTGGAAAGCTTTGTTCTAGCAGGGAAAAATCTCAGAGTCAAACAAGCACCTTTTACCAAAACAAAGTGTATTCAAGAAGATGAATGCTGCTAATGAGGCTGTTAGAGGATAAGTTTCTGCATGGCATGGGAAATTGCACACACAAAGCGCCCATTCGGAGATCATAATTTCATGACATGGTCTATAAATGATTTGTGATGGAATATGTGAAAAGTTTTTATAGAATTATGTAAGTTTATCAAGATTGACAGTTCAGTGGAGAACTAGCAATGTATCAATGATTTTATCTGACCAATGTGAGAAAACTACGTGAATCATTTCAAGACACTATCCCAGGATCAGCCTGCAAAGACACATTTGGCAATGTTGAAGGAGCTAAAAAGGTTATCTGACATGCTGATGCTGACAGAGTACTATGTGGAGATGAATAATCAAACCAGTATTCTGGCAAGAGAACTCAAAAACTGAATGCAGATTATACAAAATCCCATCCAGCCTTCCAACCTTCCAAACAATTTCTCTACCAAAATTCTATTTGCATTTCCTGTCTACTGCATTCAAACTACATGACCCATCCATTATATCTTAGCTCTAACCACCCTACCCAAAATTACGTGACTAAATCACAAAGTTCCCCATTACATTAATACCATGAATGCTTACTTACTTCATTCCTCTTAGGTTCAAATACTTTTCTGAACACTTCATTTTACAACATTTGAATTTTATATAATGTGCAGATGGGCATATTATCCTGGCAGCCAAGCAGTCGTGTACATGTATGGCTTGAGGAGGGTCTTTTCCCTGGAAGGATGGGAATTAATTCTGTCATATAGTTTACTGCTCCACTGATTACAATGTATTCCTGGTTGCCCAGCAGGTTACAACAACACTGCAGCATGTATCTGGAACCAGGGAGGAAGTGGGACAACACTCACCCATGAAATCAATGTTCTGTGCAGTCCTACTGTCAGCAGACACCAAACTACTGCCACCAGAGCTGCCTGATTTAGGAGGATTACCACTTGAAGCTTCCAAGGTGATGGTATGACCCTGACGAGCATGCCGGCGGTACTGAGGAGTAGCACACAGTAGATCATTCAGAATATGTATTATGGTGCTAATGTCTCTCTTTGGACGCCCAAATCTGTCTTGCAGAGCTGGATTCAAGGTTCCTACAACATGAATGAAAAGTGTCAGATATATGGGAGAAAAGGCTATATGACTATAAATAGAATTATAAATATAAATCACTAATTAACAAATTAACAAAGTAGTTAACTAACACCTACCCACTCTCTGTTGAGCAATGGGTACTTATTTAACCTGTCAAGAAATTCTCTGTTATAGAACCCATATGTCCATCACCATGGGCATAAAAATCATGACTGGATCCTATCCTGTGATAGTTCAATCCACTTCACAATTAACTTCCATTTTAACATTATTCCTCAATTTATGCCAAAGACTCACCACTCACTCAGGGTTTCCCAGTCAAAGTTATATGTATACTTACATCCTGTGTCCTTCACATGTGCTACACAACCCACTCACTTATCTTATCTTGATGGGCCGCGCCATAGCTCAAGTGGTTAGTCGCTGGCTTCCCACCATGGTAGCCTGGTTTCGATCCCGGGTCTGGCCAAGTGGGATTTGTGGTGGACAAAGTGGCGCTGGGGCCGGTTTTCTCTGAGTACTTCGGTTTCCCCTACCAATCTTCATTCCAACAATTGCTCCATAATCACCCTCACCTATCATCTGGGGCTGGTACAATAGGCCAGAAGTGGCCGCAGTACAAGGGACTTAGTCCCACCCCACTAGCAATAAAAAAATATATATCTTATCTTGATTTACCACAGCAATAAAATGAGGAAAAGAATATAAATTGTGAAGCTCCCCACTGTCCATTTCATTTTACCACTAAATCACTTTCAGTTTGGAGAACACAAATTCCAATCATTCCAACCAAAACAGCAACTGACATTACACAGCACAAACTTCAGTTGGAGGTGAACAAGTACAACAAAATTTCCATTTTTTAACTCCATAATGCTTTCTCTGTATCAAACTAAATATTTATAAACTAGAACTACACTGTTTTTGAGCCAAACCTTAAACTTTTTGTGATATCTAGCAATATGATAAACACGTCATATTCATATAATCTGTATTTCTCCATAACCAAGTTCCCGATGCAAAATCACAGCAAGTGTCTACTAAAACAGGCCTAAAATACAGAATTAATTCTATCCTCCATCATAAACCATTCAGCTTGTTTAGTATTCTTGCTCATCCAATATCCCACTTAACAAAGAAGGCAACAGAACTAAAACAATACATTCTGTCCATGGACTGGTGTAGTTCGAAAAATAAAGATACTGGGACAGTCTGGCACACATTTCCTGACTGAAAGAAATGGGCATGAAACTTGATATGAAGCCATTCTTGTTGCTGCTTAATGATAATTTTACATTCTTCAATGCAAGACTGAGTGATAAACAGGTCACAATATGGCATACTTCAAAAAGTTGTTGGTTTTGTCTCAGTGAGGTCAGAAATTAAAACAAATTGTTAAGTTCTTATATTTACATTGTATGAAAAAATACTATAGAACTTTCTGTTGAAGTACATCTTGAAAATAATAATAAACATAATATTTGTTAAGATTGTGATCTTCTGGGAAACAATGGCTACTAGTCTGGTACATGATTATCAACATTTGAGAGAATCATGCTGTCTCAGTTTTACAGATCTTCTAGCCTGATGAAAGAGGCAGCGAGTTCCTCAGAAATGTTGGTAACCATCTCTCAGACTATACAACAGCACATCCCAGAAGACCACAGTCTAAATATCCATCACCATGAAAACCTCAAATCTCATATTCGTTGCTTCCAGTATGACTCTCAATAATGCAATCATTAGACTCCAGCAACTCTACAGAATGTCATAATTTAGTTTCTGACTTTCTATAAAACTACTATGACACCATAGGTGGTAGAACAGCCCAAATCAAAGGTGATCATATGAGTGAGGGCACAACTTTCTTCATGGGTTACTGAACAATGCTTACAGTATCAACACTATATACCATCAGATGGTATAATGATAGATGAACGCTGAAGCAGAAAGGATTTGGAAATAAGAGGTCATGGTATAATTAGGGTACTATCCTTGCATTTAACAGATATTATGGTTACTAAAAAAACAATTACTATTATGTAGCACAAAAATATAATGAACTTTCTTCAGTAACCACAATCCTATCTGAGCATGCTGAACGTCATTTTACCATGCCCCGTCTCTTACTCAAACGCATTACTAAAAAACGAAGTCAAGAAATTATAATACTGGAGGAAACGAATCTGACTGCATTTGAATTTTAAACTACATAATAATACTATGTTTGACGTGTTGTATTTAAATAAAGCATCAAGGCACCACCCCAGCAACTAGAAATGGCCCCAAGTGCCTTGGATTACCTTTGATCGACTACAGTCTTGTTCATAAATTAAAAAAAAGAGCCAATTAACAGTATATATAAAAAAATACAATGAACTTGTTTCAGGAAAGATTGGAGACCACTCTTTGTCTTAAAGACCTAAAACATTGTTCTACTTTGTCCAATCTCCTACACCACTGCATTGCTTTACATACAAAGCTATCCCTGTAACAGGCTGCGAGACATTGAGGCTCCCATATCATCCACACAACTGACTCTTAGATGGTGGTGCGGTCATCATCCCTTTAACCCAAGGAAGATTCTTGGTATATATAATAAAATAAATTACAGATACATATAAGTTAGGAAATTCTAATACTTGAGCAAACAATTTTGTATTGTATCTGACATTCAAATTATATAATTCTATTTGTCACCGTCTCTAAATCAAGTGCATGGGCAGTGCCCCCCACCAAAAAAAGGCCCTACAGAAGCGTTTTGGATCATCCCTGTTCAGACATGGTCTTCTTTACATGATACAGCTTTAAGAGAGAATAGTCAGGCATGAAAATACGGAAAGCTTTCATGGGTACACTTCTAGGGGATATTTGGAAAAGGAGTTGTGAGGACATAAAGTGAAACTGAGCAGCCCAAGAATATGACTAATGGTAGATTTTGGTATTAGTGATGTTAAGTGGGTTCTACATCCAAAAAGTATCTTTTCCACATGCAAGGAATGGTGATTCCCACTTGAAACAGAAACTATACATAACCTGTAATGACATCAGACCTGCCATAAGTTAACCAAATCTGATCATATAGATGGACTACAAAATACCATTTCTGCCGCACACTACATCAAAATCAATGCAAATTACCAGTGAAACATCCAATTCATTGTACAGATAATAAAAGTGGTAACTGCACAGACAGTAGCCCTAAATATGCCTCACTCAAGCCTGGCCTTGTCAAATTGCATTTCTTATGTAAAAGGTAAAGTTGTCCCTGTGCTTAACTAATTAAACACTATGTCATGACGACCTATGGGGGAGTGGGTGTATAGATCAACATTTTCTTGACCTCGACACCAGCTGAAAGTGGTCAGCTTCACGCCCCACCCGCTTTACTCCCGAGGAAGAGCCCCCAGCACCCATTGGATAGGAAGTTAGGTGGACCCCAGGGGCAGTCTGGATGACGTGAATAAGATAAAATTCTTGACCCTACCGGGACTCGAACCCCGACCCCTCGGTCCTCCAGCCGTAGCCAGTCGCTGTAACGACTACGCTAACATGGTAGTAAACAATCGGAAAATATCTTAATACAGCTCAAACCCTGTTGCCACCATACCTGAAAATGTGCCCGAGTAGACTCCCTTTCCATGGTGGTGCATAGACTCAATTATGGCACCTTGGCGCCGAGCTCGTGCACTATCCTGAAAAGGACAAACACAACTGTGATTCTCAGAGCACCCGTTAACAAGCACAACCATAAAAGCAATCGTGACACTACTCCAATTACAAACTAAAATTACAACAGAACACAATGCAGCGGTCAGACAAGCACAATGGTGCCTATATCATGTAACCAGACTGAACCTTGGGCTGTAAGCTGAAACTGAATGGTTAGCACTAATCATATTTCGGAGGTCCTTGGTGTGAATCTTGATTTGGAGGCAGATTACCAGGACTGAACTGTTCAGTCCATCCTGGAAAATACTAATTACATCCCTTAATGACCACTTCTACATATCCATAATTCAATATTCTCAACATTTGGCGCTACATAATCTGTGGCTGTCGAACACAGTGACCACATGGTCTGAGGCATGAACTGTCTTCGCTTGCTCGAACACTGGGATCGTGGGTTCGAATCCCACTCAAGGCATGGATGCCTGTGTGTACGTTTATTCTGTTTGTGTTGTCCTGTGTAGGCAGTGGCCCTACAACGGGCTGATCCCCCTTACAAGGAGTCCTACCGACTGTGTACAGGATCAAGAAACTGAAAAAGAAGCCATGGCCCAACAAAGGGCTATACAACCATACTAATAATCAACCATCATCATCATCATCATCATCACTGGCACGACAGCCCTTTGTGAGCCGTGGCCTTCCTCAGGATTGCTTGCCATTCTTCTCTATTCGATGCTACATTCCTCCAGTTCTTTACTCCCAAAATTCTTATGTCCTGCCACTAATAATCAACCATCAGCTTAATTTCAACAAAGATGGTTACAAACTCTCATGGCGTAAGTTTTCATGGCTTCCCTCAGTTATTCCTTGCTTACACACCACACATATGAATCTTCCTCATCTGATGATATGTAACAGTTACAGCCAAATAAAAGTATTAAATTCCCTCAGAATCAAGTACCATGTATTCTACAACGAATATAAAGTGAACTGCAGCCTAAAAATCTGTTAAAACTGTGCAAGAGTGCAAATGCACACACACACATATTACTTGCAAGCAGTAAACCGAAGGTAGAATTCTGCCATGTTACAGACAATATAAGAAATGCTTCAAATACAACTTAACACCGCTCGCCTCAACTCACTCCTAGATCATTACATGTCAATAAGCTGTCACTCGGTTTTGCTAAGGTATTTATGTTTAACGCAGTATTTTAATTTATTTTCCTTCGCTACAATGTTCTTCTGCATTTTAACACATAATTACCTTTAAGGTTTCTTTACAACAAACTTTGTAACACATTAGATATACATTATATGTAGCTTATAAGTTAATAATCAGCATACACAGAAGCAAGCTTGGTTTATGATTACTCTGGCTAGCTACATTATTACTTCTGTCATCATACACTGGGAACATTTCAATACATTTTTAGCATATTTCATATGGACCATGTTCTAGGACAACTCTTGACAAAAACAGGTCCATTTTCTCAATCAAGTCCCTTTAACCTCCAGACGAGAAGAAAGCACCAGGAATAATCAATATGGTGTGTGGGTGGCTAAAGCACAGTACATTTTCACTGGCTGCTGGGCCTAAAATAGCAGACTGGGCTCACTCAATCCACAATTAGGTTCTTTAATTTATTTCTTAAGTTGATACAAGCTAAACATTTTGAATTTTAATTACTTTATAATGCAAAAATGTTTCACTATAGAGCACTGAACTTTAATTTCTAACCAGATGCTATCATCCATAAACATTCAGATAATCTATCTTTGTGTACAAGGAAAGAACGAAATTTCTTTCAGTAGCACTTCATTCACTGATGAAGATATTCCAGAGACATGAAGTTATGTTAGCAAATCCCTCCACTCAAGCAGTAATGCTTCAGACTTTATTTGGGAGGTACTGGGCTAAATGTCGGTCAAGAAACACACTATTCTGGCTTAAGTTTCTTCGCGGGTTTCCTCAGTCCCTCCTGCAAAATATCGGGATAATACCGCTTCCTTCCACGTCCTTTCAATTCATTACTATTCACTGATCATTCTACTTTTGACGCTACAGTCTGGGCTAGTAACAGTGTCGTTAAATAAACAAATAAATACAAATATCCTCTGGACAAGAAAAGACATTGTAATTTAATTATACTTCAACCGGCGCGGCAACACTGTCGCCGGGCACTGGACTTGGGGTCGGCGCAGTGACCACACCACTGCATACTGCTATGGGCCCGCGACGAAAGAAGGTATGGAGCAATTTCAAGGCCAGCTTCGCATCCAGCCAACCGCCAACCGCCTTTAAATATCACAGCTGTTTGTTTCACATTTCGAAAAAGAATTTATTGCGGATGAAATTACAACCCAAGAATTCTGATGTCTGAAATTGTGCTTCGCTTTATCTTGAAACAAAAAGTAAATGCAACTTCTGGAAGCAAACCATATTTAAACGGGGGCAATGCTGTGTCAACGTCAAATAAAATTAGGGGAAAACTCTTGTACTTCAAACCGAAACTGCTGGGCGAGGAACAATTTCTTGCTTAAGCAACACATTACATTTAAAACATTTGCGCGTAGGGATTAAGTGGGAAATTTCGGGGATTATCTACCGCATCTATTCGGGCGATGTCCCCAACCTCATTTTGAAGGAAATATATCTAGTTTTTACCGCATAATATATAGCCATAACTTGGTCACGGTAGGTATTCTTCACAAGAACCTGTTTCAACTCTACCCCATTTGCTGACGTACCTACTAACGTCTGCACTCATACCTAGGCAAAGAGACAGTCACGGTTAAGAGCAACGGTTACTCTTGAACAACAGAAAATGTCACTTTTATTAGGCTGAGTCGGATGCAAATTTCAACACTGAAATGGGATTGTGATTTGTGTACGTGACTGAGAACACCGAAGAAATCGGATGTCAAAAATAACTCAAAAGGTGGAGAAATCGCTGCAGAAGCCTATATGTAGCAGCGAAATAAATATGCTAGGAGGGTGATCATTTTTATATAGCGCCAACAAACTGCTAGATATATAATCTACACATATTCCCCCCTCCCCGAACTCACAGAGCTAAAATATTTTTGGGTGAGACGCGAGACATTAAAAGAGTAAGCATGAAAATCAGGACCTCAGTGATTTATATATCAAGGAAGATCTGCAACCCACCCTGCCTCGTATTTCATGAGTACTACAAAGTGGCCAGACCGTGAAGCTGACAAATTACCTCGAAGATTAAAAATGCGTATAACTATACCTCCAGCCCCCCATACGTCTTCGTGGTGGGATGCTTAACTAAGCACAGGCTCAGTTGTACCCGTTGTACCCCTTTTACTTGTACCCAGGCCGGTACGTGGGGCTGGTTACGTATTCCGGATAGGCGATGCAATAAACAAATGCAGAACTTTTGTGGAGAAATGTCTTAGCGGTCGCTTAGAAGACAAAATAAGGGGGGGGGGGACTGAACTGAATCTAGAAAACCAATGCGGAATAAGAAACGAGATCTGAATGTAGCTGTGGAGAAAACTATTAACCGGTAAAGGTGACTTCAACTTCATACAACATGCCTATGTCAATATATGCATCGAATTTTCATTATATCCAGCCGTTCATTGAAAACAGAAATACAAGGATATCCGTACGGTATCTATCATAACAACACGTAACGTGCTTACCGATGGTGCATTAGAAAGTTTGAAAACAAAGCATGTATTTCGAAATATTTCACACTAGGCTCACTTTCACGAATTCCCTATGACACAGAGACCTGCACAATACGAACAAATGCCCGCATCTTAACTTATGCCTCACACAATACGTAACAAGATCATCTTCAAAAACGAAACCCGGTTCTGCCTGCCGTTATTATAGTCTGTCGGTCAATTCACGCGACTGTTCCTTTTTCAGAAAGTCGACAGGACATTGTGCATGGACATGTTTTAACTCCGAAACTACTCAGTCTTTCGGTCAAATATATTATGGAATTCTACGCCAAAACCGGTCTATTTCATCCTGGTCTCTATTGATCCACTAGGCCCTATTACACCCACTCTACGTGATCATCAATCAGAATGGATCGTCACACAAGAAACAGCACATAACAAAACACTTACCACTGGATATATAATTTTTGTAATATTTTTTGACAAAGGAAAAAAGTGTTACCCCTTTCAGCATGAAAAGTGGGAAATTTATTGAAAATCTACGCGACTATTAGCTTCTCAACGTCTCTGCTCCAAGGATCTTACGTCCTTCAGCGGTGCTGTATCTGTCCTGCTACCTACCTGTGTCAGTAACAGGATTTATGATCTTGCTGCGTTGCGTAGTTTGCTCCTTATGTCAACAACAAACTGGCATATGCAGCAAACGAACGTCACAACTGGGAGAAGTAAAATCACAAAGAAGACATATGGAAACTACGTGCTCGAATCTCGGTCTCCTTATGCGTAACTTTCCAAAAACAACAATTCTGTGTGTGTCACTTGTTTCTCGCTTCCAAGGTTGGCCACACATTGATCCCATTATAATCCCGACTTAACTATCAAATACTACAAGCATGAGTACCTCGTTACGCAATTTCTTCTAATTTCCATCTCTATTAGATCAGCGTCACTTTCCATAGCAATTTAGCCATGATAATAATTGGCAAAATTATGTCGAAGGCTACTCAAAGGGCTGATATAACTGAATCTGGCTCTATTAATATGTCCAGTACACCTCATTTCACACACACCCCTAGTAGGTTTCTTCAGGGCTTCTGGTAGGTATTTTTCTTTTGCTAATGGGGTGGAACTAACTCCCTTGTACTGCGGCCACTTCTGGCCTATCGTACCAGCCCCAGATGATAGGTGAGGGTGATTGTGGAGCAATTGGTGGAATGAACATTGGCAGGGGAAACTGAAGTACTCGGAGAAAACCTGCCCCAGCGCCATTTTGTCCACTACAAATCCCCCTTGACCAGACCCAGGATCGAACCCGGGTCGCCGCGGTGGGAAGCCAGCGACTAACCGCTTGAGCTAT